AGGGAACAGAAAACTACTCATCCAGTGACCAGTATATTTGCCCTCTACCAGACTCCTGTACCCCACTGGTCTGGGTCTGTCACAGTATGAATAATCCTGGTTTTTTCTTCAGTCCTCCACTTACAGCTCACACCCTGGGATACTCACTGTGGATAACATTTGAGGCATAGAATTCAGGATCCTGGGGGTTCACAGTAGCTGCATCTGTGCAGAACCTCTGTATATTTTCTGCCAGGTACCAGCTGTGGTTTTCATCAAAGACCGAAAACAACACAAACCTAGTCTCATCCGACATCATCTGGGAATCACAGAGGAAGGGGGTTATTCATAATCTGGGATGGCTCTGGCCTGGATGTAAACTGACACTCAGAGGTCACAGTGTGCCTGCCAACTATCACCCAAGACTGGGCAGGATGTTGGTACTGCACCCAGGCCCACCAGGTGGCAGCCTTAGCTGCTGTGCCCAGCAATGCATTTAATCCCTGCCTTGAACAACAGCCTGATTGCTAAAGGCCTATGGGCCCCTGATTGGATGGACAGGAGCACTCTCCCTGGGTACCTGGACTATAGAAAGGCCCCAACAGGAAGAGGAAGCTGTCTGAGCAACAGACCATTGTCTGCTGGTTGCTGCCTCTCCCAACCCTGCCTTGTTGCCTTGCCTGACCTCGCCTCCCCAACCCACTGACCCAGCCCCTGGGCTTGGATCTTTTGCCTACTGACCCGCAGAGAGCTCTGACGATTGTCCTGGCTGCCTCTGATGCAGACTGACCGGCTGCTACCCCACCACTGTGTGCACATTTGATTCCTGCTCTGGCCTGCCCCCCCGCCGCTTCAGCCAGTGGGCACAACGCTCTCAGCCAGCTAGTGGAGTCCTGTGACTGCACATCCTGTGTGTGCATGTATCCGGCATATGGCTGCTGCTAAACTCCAACCTAGAGCCTCACGGTATGTAGACAGCAGCTATATTAGGTGAGTTCAGAGATGGTAGATTCCAGAGTGAGCTGCAGCAGCCAGGCTGAGCACATCTGAGCATGAAGCTGCTTTGTGTTCATGTTACAACCAGGGTTGGGAGAAGCTCTTTGCAGAAAGCACAACTCATGCCTCAACCCAAAGAGAAGCACTGGAAATGTGCTGTGAAAGCTTGTTCTTGCAAGTCTTCTTGCCCACGAGTGCGCTCTGGAGGAGCAGACACGTGCTAGATGCTCATCCAAAGCAAACGTCTGAACCTTTGGGGCCAAATTCTACCTTCACTGACACTAACACAACCCTGGCAGTAGCCAAAAGCCCAGTCACTGCCCATACGTATTGGGGATTTAAGAAAACATCAATAGATTTTGTTGTCAGAGCTCATTAATTTTAATTCCCAGTGTCTTAAGAGGACATTGAAGGGATCAGCACTCTGTAGGATTGGGCCCTTGCTCAGGGCCACAGAGACAGGACTAGAACAAAAACAAATACTCTGTCTTATGAACAGGGTGTGTGATACTCTGGGGAGATGGAACCAGCCCCACCTGTGCGATAAGGGATTTGCCTCATCAAAGGGTTGAAAGAGCTCAGTCTGGGATGTGCAGCCATGAGCCAGGGTTTGCAGAAAGCCGGGTTCTCCAGGGGCACCAGCTTGGGGCTGAGTGCCCTGTGTTGGAGCAGGGAAGACACCAAGGTAACCCAGAAAGGGGCTGGGACCAGGACGCAAATGATGGGCTAAAAAGCTACCCATGGAGGGCAGAAGAACCTTTTTGTTTGTTGGGACTTTTAGCTGGATTGTTGTTACCCCGGAAGGGGTCATGTTCATTGTGACACTGCTGGAGGGCTAAGCCACATCTCCAGCATTGACCTGTGTTGGAGAGCTGAGGAGATCTACCTCAGGGAAGGAAACTGAGGCAGGGAGTGCTGGCAGTGCTATGCTTGGGCAAAAAGGAGTGCTATGGGGTGGCCATGCCTTATGACACACTCCCTCGCTCTTAATGTTGCTGCTACACTACTATGTACCTGGTGCCATGGATATGTTAGTGACCTATGCACTTATGAGGCTGTTTCCTCTCAGGCAGTGCAGCCTAGTGAATAGAGCACTAGACTGCAATTTAGGAGATCTGGGTTCTATTCCCAGCTTTGCCACTGGCCTACTGGGTGACCTTGGGCAAGTCACTTCCCCTTCCCATGCCTCAGTTTCCTCATCTGTGCAATGGGGATAATGATCCTGACTCCTTTGTAAAGTGCTTTGAGATCTACGGATGAAAAGAGCTAGGGATTATTATTATTCCAGAATCATTGAGATCTTTCAGTGGCAGGAGAGCATAGGTGTGAGTTACAATGTGAATCATTTCATATAACCCAACTGCTGTGTTTCTGTAACATCAGCTCTGATCTCAGATCCTTAGTAATGTAAGTTACCCATCATATGGATATATGACCAGGCACTTGTCAGCAGAACCAGCTGTCCAGAGCAGGTAACCATATGTCTGCACTGAAATCAAGGCAACAGACACAGGTTTTGTCAGTTCTGATTAATATTGGTGTCATGGAAAGTAAAGACTAAATTCTGCAGCCCTTTAGCCAAGCAAACCTCCCACGTGAGCCAATGGGAGATTTGCCTACATAAGGGCTTTGGAATCTGTCCCTAAGGATGAAAAATTAGCAAGCAATGATGCATTATCACAATGGGAAAATTCAAATGTTGGGAAGCTGCGGTGCAGTGTCACTATGTCGCACCGCAATGGCTTTGTCCTGCAGCTCCAACAGGAAAGGAATGGGACTCCAGCACACTTTGGCCACACCTCCACCATGGCAGGTGGTTACGCTGAAAGGGAAGAGCTCACCTGATTCCCTCTCTGATCCATCGATTCTTTAGAGCAGATCAAGAGGGGGCCGATTAGCCCCGAGGCCGTGTCTCGGACTGGGTTGATGGAGCTGTAGTAGAAATGGGTCAAGCAGCGAGGATCTGAGCCAGCCGGCCCATCCTCAGTCGTCACTTTCCAGCTGTACTTGAATGACTGGCCAGGCTCAATAGGTATATCCTTCACATCTTTATCTGGTAACAGACAACCCCCAAGAGCAATTCATTAGGTTTGGGCATTCGGTGGAGGGGGTAATCCTACTTATAAAATGGGCTGGAGGAAGGAAGGGATTGAATGGGACAAGTAGGAATTAAGATCATACAAGCATCCTGTAGAAGCAGCAGAAGATCCAGAACAAGCATCCAGGTCCAGAAGCAACAGTGTTTAGATTCCAGGATTGAGGCTTCTCTTGTGGGGACTGCTGGCCCAACCCCAATCAGAGCTCCTGAAATCTCATGAGAAAGCCTGATCCCACAACACTTCCAGCCCAAGGCCATGAGCCAACAAATCAATCCACTGCAGGAAGGGCGCTGGGCCTTAAACATGTGCTTAAAGTTCAGCACACACTTAGGTGCTTTCCTGAATCAGGACCACATTTGCAGACCCAAGCGGCCTGTACAGTATGAAGGGAAGGTTTGAAGACTTCTCTGGAGGTGCTAGTACTTGCCTGAGCCAAACAGAGCCAGGGATGGAAGGGAAGGTTTGTGCCTACTTTTGAAACCACTTATGAATATCATGGGCTGAGTTTGATCTGAACTCAAATTTATCTGGGTTGTGTCATGCTGAGTGGGGATTATAGGTGAAATGAGAAGGGAATAGATAGGGTGAAGAGTGATGCAGAGAAGGGCAGAATGACAGACAAATACAGAATAACTGAGAAAAGAAGGTTGGTTAGAAGACAGAAAACGCTAACATCAAATAAATACAGTGATGATACCTGCTCAAGGCAATTGCTTATGCCCAATATGCTTCTGAAGGGGGCTCATCCATCCCTAATGCCGAGCCCAAGTTGCTAGAAAAACTTGGATTTAATTGATCACCCTTAAATTATGGTACAATAATTGTTAGGCAGAGATCCCACAAAGATGGGTGAGTGTTCTGCCCAATTTATAGCTGGGGAAATGGAGTCACCAAGCATGGAGGTGACTTGCCCACAGTCATGTAGTGAGTCAGTGGCTGAGCCAGGAACAGAACCTAGCTGTCCTGGAGGAAAGCACTAGCTTAAATTAAATCATAGGGGGGGCAAAAAAAAGAGGGGGTTGCAAATCTGAGCTAGTTTTATGAAACCTGAAACCACTGGTTCCTCTCCTTTTCTTGGAGGTTCCCATGCCTGCTAGTAGCAGCAGCAGAGGAGCTTGTTCATGCACTGCGATTGTTGTCCTAGATAGTTTTAATCCTTAAGAAAGAAAGAGGAGGGAGACAGAAGCTGCATGATGCCCACCCAGGAATCAGGATGGCTCCTAAGTAACAGTGTCTCCCAAAGATTCCCACCAGGTGGCAGCCCAGCAGTGGTTGGAAGGTCAGATGGTAACCTAGCAACTGCACACAGGAAAACAAGAAGCAGTACCAGGAGGATAAGTTGAACCAGAGGGAAACCCCAAACTAAAGCAGAGCAGGAGAGCGCTTATGTGCCCAGCTCACCCATCCTGGCAGCATCAAAATGGAGGATTCTTGCCCAGGGAGTATTTCACTAATTCCACAAAGGGCCCGATTCTGCCACCCTCACACTAGTTTTATACCAGTGTTACTCTGCTGACTTCCATTAAATTACTCCTGATTTACACTGGTATAAATGAAGTAAGATTCCAGTCCACTGAGCAGCACCTGACTGCGAAGCAGTCCTGTTGATTTCGGTACTGGTTACTGGGAAGGTGGCATAACTGGGTGGTTGTATTAAGTAAAATGGCAGAAAGAGGACTAGTGATTATCATTGTCCCCAATCAGGTGGTCCAGCAGCTAGGGCACTAGCCGAGGGCTTGGGAGACCTAGGTTCAATTTTGCCACAGATTTCCTGTGTGACCTGGGGCAAGTTGCTCAGTGCCTCAGTTTCCCATGAGTACAATGCGGATAATAGCAGGGCCCTGCCTCACACAGCTGTGTGCGGCTAAATATATTAAAAACTGTGAAATGCTCTGAGATCTACTGCTGAAAAGAGCTAGGTATTGATTATATAATAAAAATATTGCATTATCCTACAGCAATGGCTCAAAACACTGCAGCTGACAGCCATGACACTACCACACTGCTAATAAAGCAGTGTTTTATGTTAAGAAATTTTGTGATAAATGCCAATTGATCATTCAAAACACTTTTAGAACCATGCAAGTTTATTTAGTTGACTTTGCTTTAAGCTACCATTTAAAACCCATTTTATAGCTGTGTGGTTCCAGGAAGGTTTTTGGAAGGGCTGGTCAGTGTGAAATGCCCAGGGAATGAGAAGAAAGTGAAATATACAAGACATATGCTGATCGCTGTGCATGGGATGGGAAGGAATTTCCCCAGTGCACGTGTACGGCATCGCTCACTGGAAGGTGCATTATGGCAGTGGGTATTTCCTTCCTACAAAGCATTGCTGGCCACAGCCAAAGGAGGATACTGACTTGGATGATCTGATATGCTAAAGAAATCCTGTGTAAAGACAAGAATGTCTGAGGCTCGGTGATTCCTCCATTACTGATGAAGAGCAGCAGAGGAATCAGTTCCTGTTGTCTGGAAGCATCATGAGGGAACATGCGACCATAGAGTGACCCTCATTGCAGAACCTCTGCAGGGGCAAGGAAACCCCAAGAGGTTCCCTTTGTGCAACCTCCTCTGAATTCTGCCATTGTGATGCAGGGTTGGCCTCTCAGTGGAAGCAGCAGGAGATCTGGACTCCAGAACATGCAGATCTTCTCAGATCTTGGGGGCCCTAGAGAGGCCAGAGCTATCTGCATGAGGGAGGCCTCCACACTGCCTCCTGGACCCCTGTGGCTGACCCTCAATTCCCTGATCAACAGGACCTCTCCTGTCAGCCCCTTCCCCAAAACCTCCCTCAAAGAGAAGGTTCAGCGCAGAGGGATCTCTCATCAAGAGTTAATACAGTCTCAGTGGACCTCAGTACCCAAGTACTTTGAATAGGTAAAACAACCCATTTACTGCGGGCTTCACCAAACTCTCCTGTTCTGAGGTATGTGATCTTTGCCCACAGCTCTGCTAAATTCCAGTGACCTTCCTCAGCCAATCTCACCTTCAGAAGACTTCACTGGGTGATAGGAACTTATGCTGGTGAGCCCATGAGGGTAGATGTTGTAAGGCCGACTTGCTAGATTCTTGAACACAATCTGAAATGACAACAAACAACAATAACACTTAGCCCTCTATAGCCCTGTGTCTTCAAAGCTTTCCTTATGGTCATTCATCTTCAGCAGTGTCTCCATGTTGTCTGGATTGGTCTTAGGCACACTTTGCCTTGCTATTGCAGGGGGCCTCGGGCACTGGTGCACCTCAGTCCCTCCTGTTCTCTGTCTGTGGCACATAACAGTCTAGTCTCCTGTGGGCTGTGATACTTTGGTCTCATTTCAGTTGTTGGGTTTAGTGTGGGGGTGCTGGTGGCCTGTGACGGCTGAAGGTCAGACTAGATTATCCAGTGGGTTTCTTCTGGTCTTAAACTCTATGACCCTGACTTTCTTTGAGGTCCCAGTTTCAGTCAGTCCGTGGAAGAGCATGGAAATGGCAGAATTATTAGAGGGTAGAAAAATATTATTTAGACCCATTTTACAGATGGGAAAAGTGAGGCCCAGAGTGGCTGAGACTGATTTTTTAAAACATGGGTGCCCATAATTGGACACTGAATCCATAAGAGACTTGAGTAAGTGGCCTGATTCACAGAGGTGCTGAGCACCCACAACTGCCATCTGCCTCAAATGCAATCGTGGGTGTGTGGCGTTTCTGAACATCTGCCCAATCAAATAAATATGGAGATAAGTGCCACCCCAGTTTGAAGTCTTTGGCCTCAGTTCCTTGCTGTCAGCTACACAGCAAATCAAAGAGACTAGAACTAGAATCCGCTGAATCATAACCTGTTCTCACCAGAAGCCCACTCTGCCTCTTGGTAATGATAAACAAGTCAAGCAGCCGGTTAATAAAAGAGTACAGTGAGATAGGCTGTGCGTATAAAGCAGCCTCCCCCAGGTACTGTACATCCTAAATTACCCGTGCAATCAACACATAGTTGGAGAAGACTCAAGGAAGGAAGTGGACAGATATGTCTTGGAAGAATGTGTTGGAAGGCACGTACTGTAACATGTATGGGTTAGTATGATTACTAAGCACAGCTGATTGCATTAAAGACAAGTCAAGAGCGTTGGGCCAAATCCATCCCACGTGAATCTCCACTGAAGTCAATGAGGCTTTTACCTCTAGATTTCAATAGCAACTGAAAGAAGGTCCTCCTCTCTGGTGGACACTAGCTACTACAAGGGACTCAGTAAAGAATTTGTGTCAGACCATAGGCATGAATAGGGAACCAGGAAGAAGAACAGTAATGAATCTTCAGAGTTTACCTTTCCCATCCCTCTTGCCAGAAAGCCGTCTCTCTCTTTCTCTTACCATAAATTGATCCCCAACTTCTCCTTTAAGGACAGGTCCCAGAATTCCTGTGTCACGTTGATCTGATACCTTGCGCTTCTTAAAGGTCCCATCCTCATATTCCACAAACATCACCTTCTTATATTTTGAACCAATTCGCTGAGGACCAGCTTCCAGAAACTGACTTGTGTAACTTCTACAGGGGAGAGAGGGAAAGGAGAAATGAGTGAGCCCAGGCGGAGGGCACAGGAGCTGTTTTTTTACTATTATCACCATCATTATTATTAATAATAACTGTATAATAATAAATTTGTTATTGTGGTAGTGCACACAGACCCCAATCATGGATCAGGGCCACATTGTGCTAGGCACCGTACAGAAACAGAATGAAAAGGAAGTCCCTGCCCTGAAAAACAATGCAACAAAATACAACTTTTCCACAACCCTAAGATTGGATTCAAATGCAGGCTATCACTTCTATAAGGGAGGAAGCCTACACCAGATGCAGTTGTAGGACACTGTTGACCAATATACACTGGGCTAATCTTACTAACTGAAAATCTTACTAACAAACCAGAAGCAGGCAAAAAATCCAATCGTCCCTGTAAAAAGGAAAAATATCAAAACCATGATCATAGTATACCCAAAGTATAAAATGGTACTAGCAGTTCCCGTTATTTGGAGTTTAGAGAAGAAGTAATGAACCGCATAGATAAAAAGATAAAAGGCTGTAAAGCTGCTTGTTAAGAACGATCTCGCATTATCAATATGCATTATTCACACCACATGTATTAATATGCATTAAGCACATAATATCAATATAACATTATGTTGTATATATATATTTCTAGCAGTTATATGGCCTAAATTGTCCTATGTCTTTCTATAATCCTGTTCACTTACGCTAAGTATCCCAGAACAGTTTGCAAAGCTGAAGTCAGCTTTGGAGTTAGAAAACAGGAAACTTGTCAAAGGCAAAATCCATTAATGTTCTGCCCTAGTACAGATACTTTCTCAGATAAGTATCTGAAGTGCTAGTAAAGAAGGTACAGAAAAATGGGGAATGGGGACAAATTGATGTTTGGGTTTTAGTGAAGTGTGAAGGGGTTTGTAACCTCTAAAATCATCCTATAAATACTACCGGCTGAAATGTGTAGCTCTGGGAGCATACCTTCTTTGTAAGGTGAATTTAACAACAATACGGCATCCCAGAAACTGGTATTGTATTGAACCATTTTTCCGGTATTGGCTTTTAGCAATAAACCTGGCTGATATTGGTTACCGGGCTCCTGAGTCTCTTTCATAACAGACCCAAGTGTGGTCACACTATTGACTACACAATTTAATAACAAGAGGTTAGATATCGGTGTCCTGACCTGGCAGCAACTGGTTGCTGTAGCAGAGCAGTGAGCCTGGCACTTGCCTGCATGTGCTGAGGTCACTGCCAGAGGTGCCGAAATCACATGGCTGAGTAAACTCCTTGTTTGGCCAAGGCAGCGTCCTCTTACTACCCTGATCTGGAAGGACCCCCTCTATTAGCGCATTCAGCCCTCGGCTTCCCTGCAGACAAGAGGCCCAGTCAGTGCTAACTGGGATAGTGAGTTTTGAGAGGTTGATACTTGTCCTTTGGGGGCTGGGCTGAGACTCTCCATGGGAAAGCAGACCCCTGTGACCCTGTTTAATACCCAAGCAAGCCTGCGTGAGTAGAGCGAGTGGGATGACTGGTGACAACTGTCACTACCAGGCAGTGCTGAGTAAGACACTGCTATGATAGAATTCTCACATTACTACTACCCAGAAGGAAGTGGAGCATCATTAGGGGCTAATCTTGTCTTGTATCTGGTACAGATCCATCCTCTCAGGACAATGCAATCACATCTCTCAGCTGCAAAAATATAGGGCCAAGGGAATCCCTGGTGTATCTCCATTGAAACCAGCAGAGCGGTAGCACCCGAGAAAGTGGCCCACCATGGCACCCTCACAGGTTAAGAGGGCAAGGTGGGCTGGGTATTTCAGCACCAACTACAGAACCCTCTGTTCAGAGGACTAGTACCACACAGCTCCCTTCAGAACTCTACCTGTGCTACTGGTAAGTGGCTTGTGGAAAGTTAGTGACTACTGGTACAGTAGATCAAACAATTCCCTTTCTCCCAGGAGCTGACTGTCATTTCCACAACTTTCCCAGCCTCTGGCAAGGGACCAAACAGAGCCTCATGCTCCGGTACTGCGCGTGCTGCCTCGGGCTATATTAGATTGCTCACCCAGCCTTTATTCTGGGGTAGTCCTTTTTGCCATGCTGATGGTATTGTCTAATCTAATACACCCTCAGATAGGATTCTTAATGACAACAGTTCCCTTTAGATCAGGTTCCATGGGCAGAAAGTAAACCACATTATGGCTTTGGTGACTTATATGGCTCAGCCTACCATTTGCCAGCAGCAAGGAATATGGCTTAAATATAAGGGCCAAACTCAGCTCTCACTCCCCTGAGGTTGTGCAGTATACTTGAGAGAAGAACTTAGCCCACTCTCTTCTTGTCCTGAGCCTAACTCCTCAATGTAAGGAGGAAGAAGTAAGCTGCTAATGGAAAGGGTCTGGTTGAGGCTTCAGGTGATTTGAGGAAGAGAAAGAAAACTCAGAGGGGGAAAAGGGAACAGCTGGCCAAGCCTGTACTCACCCCATGCCCTGGCCATGCTAACATGCTCTCACCTGTCCAAATAAGTGGGCATTATTGGGGCATAGTCCCAATCCACCTCCTCAGCTGCAATGTAATGAGTCCAGGTCACAGGCTCCTGCTTGGCAAAAGCGCGTGCGCCAATCGAGGGGGAAGAGTCACTCTCATCAAATACAATCACTGTGTTGTCCAGATCATAGTTGTCATCGTAATAGTCTTCATCTGGTGTATCTATGGCCAGCCTCATCTTCATCTTGGGCTCTTCCAGGCAGACTTCCACACTGATGTATGCTTCCATGCCAGCTGGATTCAAATGGGCCAGGCAGAAACATCAATGTCTGTCTGTCTGTCTCACTCACTCACAGCTCTGGATATTGTTTCACTAGTATCCCATTTACCTGCCTCTACATCAGATGGACATACAGCTACCTAGCCATATTGTATCTGTCTTGGTAAGTAGGTTGAGGTGGAGAGACAGATGAGGAGAGTGATTAGGAGAGGAATTAGATAGGTTAGTAGAGGAGGGCAGGGATTTATATGTATGTATCCATAGATGATTTAAGACAAATGTACAACCAACAGACTCCAGTGCAGCCAGATGGGAGAGGCATTACAGCCACTACCTCTGCAAAGACAGAATTAATTATACCAATGATCATTTAAGGAGCTCTATAACACAAACTCTACATTGAGGCCTGGGTTAGCTTCCAATTAATTGCTGCAGCCTTCTGGAGAAATTTTGTGGTGTTTGAAATAACACAGGAAAAAACAAATCTGGGAAAGATTCTGGACCAAATTCAGAGATGATGCTAAATAATTCCAAGTGGGCCTCTGTAATTCTCCTCCCTCTTACACCTGTATTATACTGGTATAATACCACTGGCTTTCATGGAATTACTCCTGATTTATCCAGTGTAAGGGAGAGGAGACTGCTTTAATTTTACAGCTTGTTAGGCTATGTCTACACTACAGAATTAGGTCGGATTTATAGAAGCCGGTTTTATAGAAACCGGTTGTAT